TATCTCACTATTTGTTTGAGGTTTCGTTTTCACGACAGCATCTATCTGATGTTGTTAGCTTGTATTAGGATGGCAAAACATTTTCAGAACCTTAGCTAATACCAGTAAATTTAACATTTTTTGATACACTAAACTCGAAACGCAGGGTTAGAAAAAGATGGATTGGTTTGATATTGCTTAGCCTAACATATTGCGAGAGTATTTCCGTGATAAACATGCATGTATAGCGAATCTTCCCGTGGTATTTGAAATCAAGCTACTACAAAATCCGTTGACCCATATATGTTTCAGTAGGGGCAAAACGGAAAGTGAGATCAAAGTTATCGAATTTGTTTAACTCAGATCAACAAAGACTTAGGAGGCATTTTTTTCTTGACTTTGGCTTTTAGGTATGTACCGTGTTGCTTTCATGTCTTATTATCCCTTTCATATCTTCAGCAAATGAAAGTGCCAAATTTAAATTCCGAATTGAATTGGAAAAACTCAAAAAGTTTTTTGTTGCAGCCAGGAGATGAGGCCACCATTAATGCTTGTTTGATGCACAGCGTTGATAATCTTAGCATTCACAGTTCTCTCATGAATGGTACGCGCCTAGGTAACAGCCGTCGTCTTCCGGATTTGCCAACCGGTTACACTGTATATGATGGAGCTGTTCATCAGTCTACTGGTAGGCAAAGGTTTGTATTTCACTTCTGTTGACAATCCAGATAGCCTCAACTTCATCCATTTCTGGAAGATGGGGAAGAGAATGGAGAGATTCGTAGTACTTAAACAATTTTTCCTACGAATTTCTCACTTATCCTTCTAAAAACATGTTTCGATGTTGCGCACTGTAGGAGGACGCGAAAAGCAGGTCGTTCACAGAGTGTTGGTCGAACATCTCGCCCATTCGATTCTAAAATGACCAACTGCTATACGGATAACTGCCACATCCCTTCACTTCATCGGTATATATTCATCCATCTTTTTTGTTCACTTTTACATTGTTTGATCAGTAGTCTCTGACTAACAAGCCTGGTAGTTAATTCGAAGAAGCAAATAGAGTGATTGCGATAAGTGCTCTTGACATTAAATCTATACTAATAGCCATCTCCAGGTCACATTTACCATCTGTTCGAGCCGAGTTAATTGCTCTTGATCATGGGGGGTTGCGAATTGTCCTGATTGAAAAGCTTCAGCCTGGTCCATTCGGTTTTTACATCGCTACTGGAATTTTTAATCAAAAACGTGGTAAGTTCTTTTTTTTCAATCCAATGAATATATTCCAGAACCCGAAGAATCAAAAAGTTAATTTATTAGGTTCCGATTAGTGGGAAAAATCGATAAGTCTTTCTAGCATATGATTAGTGTTTTAAAGACAACTTTTAGCACTTCAATATTGGCCATGAAGAGAAAGAGAGAAAGAGAGAGGAAAGAAAGCTAAAGCTTATGAAAGCATCATCAAAACTGGCAAAATATAAATAGTCAATATTTTTCCTGAAAGTTTCCATTTACCTTTAAAGCTCGAGTTCTTTCAGGAATCTTCATCTCTCGAGTATCATTACCATCGTTGGCGCCGGTACTATCGGTGGGTGATGAGATTATTTATGTGGAAGACGAGTTGGTGAAAGGCGAGGATCTGGAATATGTTCAGGCATTGATTGCCGGCAAAAGTAGCGTGAAGATTGTACTTCTACCAACGGTTGGGCCAAATGCTTGTTGAATTGTGCTGGTGCGATTAAAAGTTAAAATTTCTTTTCCTATACTTACACATACTGAACTTCTATTTGCTATTTGTTGAACAAATAAAATTGTGCGCCAAGCAAATTTGCCAAACTTCCACTTTTAACAAATGCTTTCTATGCAGATGCTTATATTTGATATCGGTTTTTGCACTAAAACTGTTTTACCTAATTTATTTCTTCCAAGTAAGTAATAAATATCAGGCATATCCACTGGGACAATTAGCTTCTCTTCACTAGTGGACTGTCACGAAGTTAACTTACCAATTATTGTCCAAAATATAGAAACAGTAGAAAATTATTCCAGACAAGACTGAACATTGTCTCGAGCCTCCTTAAAACTTAGGAGGAAGAGAGTAACAAATCACTTAGGATCAGATATATGCCTTCTCGTAAGAAAGTCTTTTCCAACTGCTCATTTGGTACATATCTCCTTGCGAATAACTTCTCAACATATTCTCCTCATTGCAAAACGCTGGTAATCTTACTAGCGAAACGGTTCCACTCCTTGATTAGGCTCAGTATCTTGATGATAAAGCAGCCCATTGAGGTTTAGCTAGGTGTATGTCTACTGGATGTTTTTTATATGCATTTCTAAGAGCTTGTTCACAAACTTCTTCCTCCAAAAGAAACATTCATGGAACATTCACCTTACAATACTAATTAAATGCTCCTCTTAAATTGTTTCGTTCTTGTACTTCATGCTCAATCGTCTGTTTTACATGTTATTTTGTTCCACGTACAAGTGTTTATTTCGTACTTTCTTTTGAAATGATGTGTGAGATGAGGAAGTTTCTTTTATTTGAACATAACAGAGGCCATCAGTTAACAAAAAATTTCTAAAAAAGATACCATTAGAAAGAGCAAGCTGGAAAGCATCGCACAACAAGCTGGAAGACATCGCACAACGCGAAAGGGAAAAAAACCGAAAGTCAACAAAAAAGGTCAGTCTTGGTGACGTAATGCAGATAGACCTACTTTTCAAAGTACAAATTATAAACGCTTTTTTTTGAAAATCAACAAGTGGATTATTACAGAAAGAACAAGATGATTAGGAATAATAAGTTCTGGACTTTGCTCTTGTAATTTTATGTCTACGGGTTTCGAAATTTTCAACAGACATCGTGAAAATTTATTTCTCAGTATGTTTAACAATCAAAAAAATTTAGCATCACCATCTATTTTATGTTGTTTATTGTTTCATTGATTGCCTTAGCGACGTATTCAACATTTTCTGGATTTAATCCACAGACATTTATTCGTCCATTCTTTAGCAAAAACACTTTGTGTTTCTTAATAAGATGATCAACTTGTTCCGCTGAAAAATTAGAAAATCAGTGATTTAAAATTTGCCGCACTTTCTATTTCTTAAATGACATCTGTGTTCCTAATAATAGCTCTAACAATGCAATCATACTCATTATCGTTTCGATCTGTTCTCATTAATTCAGAAAAAAAGTGAAAATCAAAGATAAAAACGCACGATTAAGACCACTAAATGAAAACATTCCAATTTGTTGTGTAATATGCTCCCACTTCCCAGGAGTACCAAGCTTTTCCAAGTTTTCTCGTAATGCTTGTCGCATACCCTTTATGCGCAAAGACATCGTCTAGAAGATACTCTGATTACGAGATCACTACTCATCACTAAGTAGAGAAATCACATTTCAGCTCCATAAATCTTGAGCTATCATAGCTGAAATGGTGTTTGAAGAATGAACAGAAACTGCTTTCTTGTAACAACCTGTCTAGTAGATAAAGGCCACAATTTTAGTTCGAGATATAAACATGCTTATGATGAAGTAGATATATTTTTTAATACAAAAATAACATTGATATCATTTTTAGAAATTCCAACTTCATTTTCATTGCTATCGGTATAACAGTCCAATCATTCCATCAACAGCCCATCTTAGAACAATTATTCACTTAGATCCACCATATCTGCAACAACAACAAAAATTAGTGACAAATAACTAACTTTAATGGCATCATGCCATTGGACACACATGCTTGGCGACGTTAATATCATATGCACAATTCTTGCACCATGATTGGGAGGATTAGACCAATTGGATCGAATAACTAGTGACATCTGTGATTTAAAACTCGTTAGTGTTTTTGGATCTGACACTACCACTGTCAGATTGCCAACTCGTTCATCTGAAATCATTCAGAATCTGTGAAAAATATCGGGAATGAAATTAGTCGAATTAAAATGTGGTGGGTGTTTTAAGTACCCAACCTCACCCAAATCACAACATAACCAATAATTACGAAAATTTTACTATAAAGGCCAAAATTCTTGGCGAATGACTGTGCGCAAAAGATCTCCAATCCTTGCTCAACAAAATATCGCACAGCCCAGGCATCCGCATCCAGATCACCACTTGCGAAGCCTTGATAGGCAAGATCAAAAAATGGAAAAAGCTGTCTTTTCTAAAAGAGAAAAAAAGTAGACAATATGCATTGGACATTTCGAATTTGTCACATCTCTTTCTGCATCTTAAAAGAAAATGACCAAAAACCCCTTGGCAAGGACTTTAATTTTAACGATTTTAATACATGCCTTGCAAACTTCTGCAATCTGTTTCCACTGATCATGAGTAGGATCCATACCAGTTGGATTGTGAGCACAGCCATGCAAAACCACTATAGCGCTAAAACAAAAAGCAAGCAACTTTATTTTAGTATATTTAAAATCATTAATGGTTTTCGAACTCTCTCAGCGCATATTTCCAGTTAATGTCACATAAAGTTAATGCCCTTCTGCACTGTAGCAGCTTTGTTACAAAGCATTTTTAATTTAAAAAAATAACATGAAGAAAGTGTGCTATGGAATATGGGAAAAAACTAAGCAGAAAAGACTCACTTCTCAGGTGCAGCTTCAAGATCGGCCAACATGTTTTTCATGTCTATGCAACGATTTGTTGCATCCCAGTAACAGTATTCACGTATATCCGTAAAACCAGCTCTTTCAAATATTAATTTATGGTTGCCCCTGAAAAACTCCACAAATAAGGTATTTGAATTATTCCGCGAATAGGAACAGTACAAAAAGTATAATAAAAAAAACTCAGTATAGTTTAACTGTAGGAAACTATAACAGCGAAACTCTTCTTTTGCTTAGAAATACAAATGATAAATTCCATAAACAACATATATTTATAGCAAAGATAATTTTTACTAATATCTCCTCATTGGTTTATAATCTTCGTCATCTGATAGAGTAATATTTAATCTACTCTTATATCTAAAAAATGAGGCTGTAAAATTTTTCAATACTTTATGCTCTATTTCAGCAATTTTAATGGTCTAAATAATAGGCTTCCAAAAACACTTCTCCATGTCATTAAAGTCAAGAGATATAAAACTTACCAAGTTGGTTTGGAAATGTAAACTGTTTTCATTTTCATGACAAAACTGAGAAAATCAGCCCCAGCTTTTAGTGACCCCGTTCCAGAAAGACATTGTACACCTATGGCCTAAAACAAGGCCAATGGTTATCAATTTTCCAATAAAGTATGCTTGCTTAATACTTGAGAATTCCTATACTCCGCAATGTCCTTTTCAAGAGCATGAAACTGACTAAAACTCATAAAAGAGGTTGCCTGTTTGCACTGCACAACGCCAAATTTCCAAATTACAAACTTTTCCAGCTTTGATAATGGATGAATCCTTCCCAAGAATTAATTCCACTGCAGCATTACAGAATGGTTCATAACCAAGTACTGGTAAATATTCATGACCCACACCACCTGCAAGTCGCTTCTCCGCTTCACGCACTACTGGCAACACCCATGGTTTACCTTCTTCCGTACGATACGCTGAAAATGAACATATAAAATGCCAGCAAATATGAGAAAAAGAAAAAGTGAAAAATTTCCGCAAAACCTGATATCCCTGAATAACTTTTCAAATAATCTTAAACATGGAGATATTTTCTTCTTTCTCAAATGAAATTTAGCACACCTCCAATAGTTAAGTTAACTTTATACTTCGCTGGTTCATCTTGATACATTTTGTTCATATAAAATACCTCAATAGGAGGTGCAGTCTCTATGTTTCCGAAAAAAGATGCCATTTTTGGTTCCTGCAAAACCAGAGAATTCACATTTATGAAGTGAATTTAAAAGGAGAAATAGAAATCAACAGTACTTCTATATACATTGAAACAAAAAACTTCAGAGTAATTTCGTACTAATGCGTTATCCATCTTTCAGTAGTGCTCAGAAATCCATAGAAAAGACTGTAATATTCTCACTAAAGTCATCCAACCGCAAGAAGAACGAGTGGACTAATGGAAAGTAAAGCAGTCCGGATGACCACCGGGAATTTATTGGTCTGTCTTCGGACACACGGTAAATGACGGATTACGGCCAATGAGATGGGCTGAGGGCAGTTTGAACCAGTAAATTAGTGACGGAAGAGATGGAGTTGGGTGTGCTTTGTGACGAAAGACGATAAGGCATTTTTGAATTGTATTTTAGGCCTAGAACAGAACGGTCGCTTGTCTGCAAGTGTCATTACGTTCCGCTTCCTTTATATGCTGGCATGCAAAGTTACATTGGCAGCACAATCAGAATTGTTTCAGGCTCCCTCTTATGTTCTGTCAACGGAAAGTCTCCCAAATCTCTTTTCTGAGCCATACCTAAATAAGGGAAAGGAAAATGCACCCTGGGAAGATTTCCACCCCCAAAATAAGCCTAGAACAATTTTTAACGGGACAAAATCATAGGTTCGGTTATAGTCATGAAACTTTCACTTTCCTCCGCAGAAACAATCAGCACCGATAAAAATCTACCCTGCTATTCGGGGTATGTGCAAACAGTAAAAACTGTCAAACAATCCAAAACAAAGAGGACGGCAAACAGAGAAAGAATAAAGTTGAAGCAAAGAGGAAAGGACCCATAATGGAAAGGTGAAATGGTTGCACCGAGCGTGGAAGAACGAGCATTTGAGCATCGATGTGATAGTATCGGAATACAGACGTGACCAGATGACTTCTACAGTAAGTGATGGCTTATGAGAAAAGGAAAAACTTTCTCGTTAGTTACAAACTTATTTAATTAGCTAATTTGCTGTAGTCAACTTGTTTGTTTACATTCCACTTACTACTTTACACGCTTAATTATCTATTTCGTCCTTGCCACTTTCATCTTTCACCTTTTACGTTTCGAACAATAATCGTATTCTATTTAACTTCCGTTCTCATTTTATTCGTCCAATTAATCAAACCTAACAAGTGATGATTGTTAGTACTTGAACGAAATCTGGGAAACGCCATTTCAGGTGGCCGCTTTCACCGCGGAAACTTCCATGCCGAACCTGGTGACATGAAACCCGGGGTCCTGATTCCGTTGTTGAGCAAGGCTGAAGCTGAGTTAATAGTAGACTATAGAAACTGGTTAGTGGATAAGTAAAGGTCATCCGGTTGCCGATTCTTGACAAAACGAAAGAAGCGAAATCTTCACTTGTTTAGAAAGACTTTATTCGTTGCGAAACATCACGACAGCAGGAAGAGGTGCTAGAGAAGGCAAAGAAAAATCAACCATCTCATCAGGAGTTTCCTGCAAACAATTGCTCGCTATACTAATAGTGCTGCTGGGAGGGAACTGTTGGCGCGTCCAAATTCTCACGGCGTAGGATCGATCTATCGCGACAAGTAGCAAACAAAAGGGCCACACGCAGATCAATGGACTACAGCAATGAGTATGGCATGCACGGATGGACTCCCAGGCCCGGTGCAGTGTTGCAGGCTGCCTGGTAGTAGACCGTAAGGTGTGCCTTGCTTCCCAGGGCGACCAGGGCGGTAAAAGCACACCGTCCCAACCAAGCAAGAACGCATCACACCAGTCAGAGGCGGTTTCTAGGCTAAGAATGGGGTCAGACACAGACAACAGTGTGCAGTTTCTCCACCTCGCAAGACAGTTGGATGGAACACATCTCGGACACCCGCGCCACGTTGGGCCTGACATCCTCCACTTGGAGGTGTCGGAAGCCATTTTCACCGGGAATCGCCTCCTTTGGCTTCGAGGTTCAAACAGTAACTTCATGTGGACGATATTGTGCATGCAATTGAAGTGGCGAAGGGAACTGAATGCGTTTCAAAGTTGCTAAAACAATAAGAAGGAAGTAATTCATGGACACATTCGCAAGATTCAACTTCAGCACAAGTAAGCGATCAAAGCACTGAAATAGTTCAATATCTACCCTGGGGATGGATTTCAGCTCATTGTAAAAGCACATTTTGTCGTGAACAATTTTTGAGTGAATAGTACAAAGACTGTTGTAGGGATTAGTAGTATTAGTGGTGTACGAGATAGTCTCAGTAGACGAATCTTCCTTTTTCATTACTGAATCGTTTCGAAATTTGAATGAGAACTGATTGAGTCGCAGTGGGAGAGAGAACAATCATTAATCGATCAGAAGAATATTGAACTTCCGAGCAATATTCTTCTTTTCGTTGTGCAGTAATCGAGTTAGTATTTGAGTCATTCGATGGATGAACAAGAGGTCACGCAACACTTCGATAAATGACTTCATTGCAACGAAGAATTTTCTAGACATACAATAAACAAAGCCAGTGATTAACTCAATTCTTTCGGCTTTTCTAGTCCACTTTTCTCTTTCCAGGTTATTACTTCTACTCCTCCTTTACATCCGGAAAATGGAACGGAAACGTAGTCGCCTTTTTCCTTTCCTATTGTCAGAGAAAGCAGAGGCTCTAACAGTGAAGACAATTTCTCTTTTCTTTGTATGTTTTGAAAAGAGTTTTAGTGGCAAGCAAATTAATAGCAAAATATTTTATTCTTTTATTATTTTCAGAATGATTACGCTGAAATACTGAAATCTTCTTCGTAGCTTCTGGGAGAATTAGGCTCTCCACAGCGCGATCTGGCTTCGATTTGGTTCATTTTAGCCTAATCGTATTTAGTCAAGAAGCAAAGAATCTCTCCTTCCTTTTGAATTGTAATCATTTTTTATATTCTTTCCTGGCAGTGAATTGAAAACGCGAATGCTATTCATATAACCGAAAGCATACCGGACGACCTTTTTTATCTGGAAGAGTGAACGGAAATGCTATACAGTTCAGATTTTGTAAAAGTAACAAGTAACAAGTTGCATTTGCTCATGAGCGGTTTACCAATGCGGGCTCAGTCTGTAAACTTTGACAGTAGCGGAAGATGCTCAGTTTTAAAAATATTCATCATTCCTCAGGCATTCTGTTGATTCAATCAGCAGTGTAAAAATCCGGTTAACGATGACGAATCCAATTACAAGTGACGGTATGTTGAATGCAAATAAGACAATAAATTGAATCAACTGAATGAATTAGACCGAATCAAATAACAGTGAATTAAAAGGAGAACAGTTGAAGGGAAGTTTTTTGTTTCAGTGATTCATTTCAAACCCATGCATTAAGTGGTACCCATTGTGAGCTAACAGATCCGGTTGTTGGTTAATGGAAGCCTGCAGGGATGGCACATCCGAGTGGAAGTGTTAGTAGGAAATCACAATACTATCCGTAATCCCATCTGTTTCAGATAATCTTTTAGATGGTAGTTCATCTAAGATTGCTGAGAAATAAAGAAAATCGTTTCGATCTTTTCAATTCATTTTCACTTCTCATGAAATTCAACTTCTGCTCTTTCGTGCTCTTAAGAATAGTTAAGTTGATGCCAACCGAGCAGTGCTTAGTTTTTCATCCAGTGAAAGTGGTTGGGCATTGGTCTCTTCCCAAGAACTTCAGATGCCAATCCTTTGAGCACACATTAAATCTATCCATTTATTAGCCTTGAATTTCGTCGCTTATCAAACTGAAAACATAAGAAAATGTAAAATTTTTTTTTAGTTTTAAGCTGCAGGAAAATATAAACCAATCGGGCACAAATGATGGCGATGAATGAGCCAAGGTGTGTTTCCTACTACACCATGTACACCAATTACACTGCTTGCAAAAATTATACTATTGTATCCCGCGACAATAACATCAGAATGTTAATAAGAGCTGATAGTTAACTAGCAGACGGAGCAGTTTTTAACCGTTTCCTCACATCTTCCCTTTCTTCCTTTCTCATCTTCCCAACTCTTTCCTTCATCGCTTTATACTTTTCTCTCATTTGTTTTACAATTCAAACATGTTTCTTCCTTTGCAGAGTGACGAATTTTTCAGAACCCGATTCAGATCGAAATTCTGAAATGAGAAGGAAATTCCAAATAAAACCAACTCGATAGATAATGTATCATTGGCAGTCATCTTAAATAGCATTTCATTAGACCGTAAAGTTGCTAATATTAGAATTAAATTCTAATAACTCAGGTAAGAAAATTATTGGAACTTCTAGCTTTAGATATTAATGCCTTTAGACAGAATTTATTAATGATAGAATTTTGTATATCTACCAATCAGCACATAATCTAAAAGATGAAAAGCCTCAAGAACAAGTTTTGGTTCAAGTGACATGAACCAAGACTTTGTTATAGTTGGCGGTACCATACAAGAATGCTCGAAATTAGATGCTGTTACGCGACTTCAAACCCAAATACGCATGTAAGGTCAGTCGTGGACAGATGTTGGGAAGAAGGTTATGTTTAAGCATAATTAAATAAAGAAATGGAAGAATAAATAAAGGAATGTGAGCCAGACAGATTATTCAGAAGATTGAAATAGCTCGTCCTTTTCCCAATAAATTCAGTCCATCACTCTGCTTCCGTACTATGCAATACAAATATTGAGATCACCGAAAGCACCTGTCTCCGCCGCTTCCATCCGATTGCTCTGTGGTTGCATCTGCGAAATTCTCGGAAGAGAAGAAAAAGAGGGACAGAAGCAAATATCCCTTCCTTCTTTTATTTGATAACCTTGTAGTGCGCCACCATCCTAATTCATGCATCTTTTTTCTTTTGAAGATTCATACATCTTCTTCAAGCAGTATCAATACCCGTCACAAATATTTGGCAGTTACACCATTCCCACTGCCAGTTATCATTTATTTCACGGACGAAATCAGGTATTTTAAAAATTCTTAAAGCTTCAGCTGCATTTTCAATTCTAATCAAAAAAAATTATTTCACACCCTCAGATTTACCATGTAAAGAGAAGAATGTATAAGACGGCACTCTTCATTCTTCCAAGCTCGCTTCAGATGAATCGAAATATTACATATTCGCTCAGCCTCCCGATCACATATATTCACAATCGATTCACTTCATGCCCCCGAAATAAAAAATTTTACTTCACCTTTCAATTCTTAGTGAATTGAATAAATTTCTCAGATTTTCTGCCAAATCCATTTCAAGCCCTCCTCCTTCCGCTAAATTTTATTTTACGATACCCCTAGCATTCCTATACAGATTTGCAAAATAGAAGCATTACTTCTGCAGCTCTGTCCACTCAAAATCTTTTTCTAATTTATTTCCATCACTTTTTACTATTTCTTTTCAAAATTAGCAATTTCTTCAATAATTCTTTATTATTAAGTATTTCAGAGGAAATTCATTTACAACTGCAAATTTTACGACAGACTTCATTGATATCAGAGAGATCTTCCAGCAGAAAAATAAAATAATATTTAATAAATCTCACAAAAGCAACAAGCACGATTTGCTGCTGCAATCCAAGCTATTGACGCTAGATAACAGAAGAAATATCGCAATTCGCCAAATACTCATAGAAGATTAAACAAAGCCGCATCCATTTAAAAATTAGAAAAATGCTAATTTGAGAGAAATTAAGTTAAAAAATAAAGTGGAAAGAGAGGAGGGCGGGTGAAATTTACCAGTCTAAATTAGCATTAATTACATGTTCTCAAATCTCCAATCTGTTTCTTTTTCCACTTCGACATCTCGTGATAACTAGCACGCGCCAAATACAATTAACATGAGCTCATTGAACAGCGTCAAACCATCCAATAAATAATGAAAATCAAAGACAGAAGATACGAACGAAATTTATGCTTAATCTCAAAATATTTTTTGACAATAAAATTGGAATGATCACATGATATATGTGCTCAATCATCATTTTCATTCATATCCCTACTTCACCGTAACTAGCTGTTACAACATAAAAAAATTGCACATAATTTCTCCCATATCACTTGAAAATGGGTATTTAAAAGTTAAAACAAAGGAATGATCACGTGCGCACCTGAAATCTTCCAGCTTTAGTGATATATTTAACACCTTTGAACGGCTTATACTTCTCACCATACAAATCCAGGCGATTCACTTTCAACCCCGATACAGCCAACTGATTAATTTTGAAATGTACGGTAATCGGTGGCGTTTCGACATTTGCTGTACCGCTCACAGAGACCTAAAAGTAATCGTATGTTCTTTTCAGTCACTTAGGACAGTCTGAAAACAACATTTTCAATTGTACATTTCTCAATGGACTATTTCAGAAAATAATTAATACAATAAACGCTTTTAGTTTTTCATTTCTTCTGTTAGCAACTAAAATGGTTTATTGAATTGGATTCAGGTCATAAAGCAGGATTTGGTAAAAAAAAATACAGCCATTAGAGAACCGAGCAAATCTCATTTGTCCGGGTCTATAACAAATTCTGCATGCTGCAAACACAGAAAACGACGTTGTTCTTAAATTAGCTTTCTTTTCAGGTATATTCCCATTAACGAATTAACTGGTAAAAGCTGAGGCTAAAAGGATCATCTAGAAGGAAATCGATTTGCGTTTTAACTAAAACGAAAAAAAAAAGTATTTGTAAAAAAGCTGTGGAAAAAAATGAAAAGGAATAACATACAGTTCCTTTTAAAGTAGGTGGTTTGCCCAGTTCAATTTTTCCAATATTCCATTGGAGCAATTTCGTTGTCGGATCAAAAGAGCATTTTCCAGTGCTCGATATTAGCATACAATTTTGCACTGATTTCGGCATTGTCATCTCCACGATAACATCTTCCAACTTAAAACTGTCATTATTCAGATTTGTTAACTATAACAAATATAACTTCACATCGCTATCTATTTCATGCATTTTTCATTGCATCCCATGTCAACATTTCATCACTTCTCGCGAAGGTAAACATAACTGAGAAAAGTTTCAGAAAACCTAGATATGCTGAAAAACACGTTTCGTTCAAGTTGTTATCTTTAAATTTACCATGAGAAAACTAACGTGGAAGTCCGATTGGTTGTTTATGGACCTTTCAAAAGGTCTATAAACAACGAAACGAACTTTCATGCATGCGAATTCCCTCCTGTCATAATTCTGATGACGGAAGGGAATAAAAAAAAGGCACTGGTACACAAAATTAAAGCTAAGACAACAACTCCTACCACTTTACCCATACTCTGTTTCGGACCAACTGTTAGCTCGACTCGTCCAGTAGCACCGGACTTAAGTGATATATTGTGACGCACATATAACGGTATTGCAACCATACTGAAAAATAGAGAACATTTTGTGCAAAAAGACATGAAAAAAAAGCAGAAAATAAATTCTGAACATTTCGAAATTTTCTTCTTGAATAAAACAAAAATCAAAAATTATACACATGAAAACCATCCGTTCATTGTTCTTTTTTCTTTTTTTTTGATGCAATTTTACATGTCCGAATAGTTTTGTCCCGTCAATCATAAAACATTCCATTAATTTATTCTCATCAAAACTCTAAAAAGTTCAGCATTTGGAAGTTATTACCCAAAAGAAAGCTCTATTATCGATAATTTACCTCTGCGAACCAATATGATAGGAGAGAAGGCGGAAATTTCCATCAGGTGGCACAAATGACAGTACTCGCTCATTCTGTTAAGTTGAAAAACCATATTAATTAAAAAAAAAGCATTTGGATATCTATCAAATTTCTTACCACCCTACCAAATATTTCGGATTTATGATTTGGAACCTCATCATTCAAATTGTTTTTATAACCTTTAGAATAGACGATAGAACAAATATCGAAATGAGATGAAATGATTTTTTTCATGTGGAACGAATTACCTCTGCTAAATGAGAAAATATGATAACAAAATACTTACTTCCCATCGTTTAAATCGTACGCAGGGATGAAACGAGACATCATCTAACAATCTTGGATTAATTAATGACATCGTTAGATCAGGCATGCCAGAAAGTTTACAACAACAATCTATCTGAATTTTCATACGTCACAGTAGAAATCGATTCAAGGATTTGAAGAGTCTGTCGGGTGATGGCAATATAAAAGGAAGATAAACATTTATGACCACAAAAATTTTTAATAAATCTTTTGATGTTAAACGGAAGCATGAATTAATATATAAGAAATTGTTACGTATAAATATTAAAATAAAACTTGAGAATGCAGAAATCGATAACAACTAATTCGGTTACGGTTCGGCCAGGGAAAGTTTAAATTACTAACATATCCTTGTATTTCAGAGAATACAGTAGCACCTTGCCGATCAATTATAGCATCAATTTCTTCAATAACATCAAAGTAAGCTTCATTGTTTGTATACTTAACATCAGCTCTTCTCCAAGGTATATTTGAAAGTTGTCCAGTTGGCAATACTTCCGAAACGTTCGTTCGGCCCATCACCTGCAAAAAAAAGCTTTTCCCACGGGGACTACCGTAGTTTTCCTCCTTCCTCTGATCACATTTGAGATATCATGTATAATAACTGCCAAAACGATCTGCTGAGATCTCTGGAAAAAGAAAGTTCATCTGACTGATTTATTTAATCACTTGATCGTTAAATTATTTGTAAACTTTACTTGATTAGCGATAGTTCGAAGGAAATTAGGCGGTTTGATAAGCTCTTGTAAAACGTTCAATTCTGTAGCCAGTGGAAAACCATTATCAAGCATTTCATCTAATAGCTGGAACGAACTTACATATTAATAAAGACAAAATAAGAAACAGAAATTACGGATGCCTATCAAAATGAAACCATGATTTGAAATGGGAAAGTACAACAATTTCCATCAGAATGTAATGATTGAAATAGACTACCACACAAATTATGGGAATCTATTCCTGTCAATTCACTGCCGACACACAAACCATAAAAAAATTACTTCGAAAACCATGACACAGTTTTCTTTAACTGCATTGTCGCTGAATTCTTCGAAATATTCCACAAATGTAGTAATGACTCGATGCAAAAATTCGATTACCAATAATGGTGGGGCTAAAATTTGTCTCTTAATACGTCTAAATATCTTATTCATTGGCATAAATAATACAGATAAAAGAAATGCATAACACGGTACAATGAAATGAAGTAAAATGAGACTCAACATTTTTGTTTTAGTTTCAAATTATTTCTACTTTATTAGATGATAATCAGAACCGCCTATATAAATTCGCTATTAGAAGAATCCAATTTCGAAAACAAAGAAATATTTGATAGTGATATGTACTTGAAAATTAGTCAGAATCGTATGCTGCGGAAAAATAAATAAGGGTATAATTTACAAAACCTAATGATTCCAAAACTATTATATCCTCGCATAAAAAGATTACAAAACAATCTATTTTCCTTCTTTCAAATTAGGGTAAATTTTGAGAGATTCATTTTTCTATGTTCACATAAATTACAGCTATATATGATAAGAATTACTTTCCGACACAGTTACGGCAAGAAGATAAAGATGGTTGTGATAAACGCTGATGAGATAATGATGGGGTGTTGATATAACTGGCGGTACATCTTCCGGGTAGGCTGCCTGAAATTGTCAATAAATCTCCATCAAATATTCTTCATCCTTCTTGTCTAAATTTGAATATCTCATTATTAGATTGGCAATATCTGGACTGAAATATATCATTCTGAAAAACATGCATACTGAGAATATATCCATCCCACATTAATTTCATAGACGAATAAACCAATAAATCACAGTCGGTGCATGCAAAAAAAACTGTGGAATCGATGCTGGAATAGACAAAATTGAAAAAGCTTTTGTGTATCGTGATTAATCTGATTCAATGGCTTGTAAAATACCTTTTTTTGGGCTTCGAAAAAATAATCACATATCGATCGATGAATAACAGATTTCCAGTGCTTCTCGAGAATAATGTCGCTGAAACAAAGTGGGATATACGATATTTGAAATAGGAAGAAGAGGAGATGGAAGGAGGCATAATGACTTACTCGATTTTCACCATTAGTGTTTGATCTCTGCAATAGACAAACAACTGATTGTAAGCTTATCCTTGAATCTAACCGAGTGTTCTGAATCCCTTGGAGCCATTTGATAATAGCAACATCTTACCATCTCACCACTCATTCACCCGTCCATAATGATCGAGTTAAACTTTAAACTATTGCTGCTACTTGCATTCACAAACTGGTTTCCTGGAACTCTCTGAGACATCCCGTCTATCGGCGATCCCAAGGTATATTGAACTGCATTTGCCAATTCAATCCAATGTCATGTGATAAATAAAAGTCTCCTTGGCCAGCTTCAAACTTGTTCATGAGCTTTCAAGCTCTCTGAAATTCCGCCACACCTAACATTCCATTTTTAATCGCAGTTTCTAAATCGTAAGATTTGTCGACCACTCTCTGATATCGATATTTCAGTCGCTCTCCATCATCATACTCAAGCAGTATTGCTCGGAGCCATATTTACTGCCACGGCACTGACCGTTGTTAACAAGGCAGCCGAATCCCTTTCAAAGTTCATCATATCCTTACCATTACATCGACTACTATTTTTGCTCGGTCTGCATTTATCTCTGGCCATGATTGCTTCAGATTAACAGTTTTTCGTAAACAATCTTTCTAAAAAATAATGTAAAGTTGCTAAAAATCTTTATTTCTCTTCACTTCTCCACTGCGTCATCTCCATCCCAACAATTAATTAATAAGCATACTTCACTTTTCAATTAGAGGCATGCGCTAGATGACCCCGTTCCTACCAACTCGCTTACATTGAGAAGTGCTATTACGATTCCAAACAATCACACCATCATCAAATCAAATCCTTTTAATTTTTATCTTCATTTCGCTTCTAATCAGAACGGCACGCCAGTCGTTGTTAAGCTCACTTTTCTCTTATCCAGCCATTACACAGCTT